CAAATCGTGTGCAGCAGGTACATACTGATTATCGTCGTCATCACAAGTTATATTCTTCTCGAAAGTGAACAACGATTGATTATTTGCAAATATTTGCTCATTATCGTCCACTAAGACTACATTTGCAGTCGTAGTGGGTTGTGGGGTACTTGTGTGAGTTATATTCGAGTTGGTCGATTCGAATGTCTCGGTGAACGGCTGCGATAGGGTAGTAGCTGAAGTAATGGCAGCAGTAACCGTTTCATTACCCTTTAGTTGCACCACTTCCAAATCGGGTATCAATGATGCTGGTGGAGTTGTTGACGAACTAGGCATGGTTTCCAAAGACAGCGTGGTTGTTGGAGATGAAAGAGCAGTTGGAATCTGTACTGTCGTTGGCGGAGACGGTATAGGAGTTGTGGTGCTCGAAGACGAGTGAACGACGGAGGATGACACTGTAACGGCACTGGAGATTAGTACTGTAGCTGAGGATCGTATAGCGTCGGAATTTGCTGATGATGCAGTGATTGTTGTTGGTATAGGAGAAGAAGATGGTACTGATGAAATAATATCTACAATTGGCAATTGATCTGAGGTTAGCGATTCACCGAATGCAGCAGTCACGTTATCAAGAGGAGTATTTTGAAGTGATAATTGTTGGTCGGAGGGGAGTTGAGTGGTTTTTATTTGAGGTAGTGTAGTTTGGACTGATGTATTCATCACTTTTTCTTGAAATTCGTTTCGGTTGAGCGATTCAACAGGTGGTTGGGATGTATTTGTTTGAATATTATTGGNGAATTCAAGTTATCTTCGGGGGTTGCGGTGTCTGCACTTGAATGATTTGCTGATCGGGTCGCATGCAACTGCTGCACATTCGTATTGCTTTCAGGTAACGCATTATGTGTGGGTAATGACGGGACTGTATCGACCTGATCAGATATATTTGCTATTGGAGCAAACGATACAAATTCAAATTCTTCAGTTTTTCCAGAAATCAATTCGGACAGCACATCTGTGGAGTTGTCATTTTCATAAGCAATAGTTTCGTTTTGAGCATTTGTCATTGCAGATGAGTTGTCGTCAGTTGTGATTATGTCCGACGAATTATTTGTAGGGGCTGGAGCTGATGCCGAGGTGTTTGAGCACGTGCCATTGATACAAACTGATTCGTGACAGACGTTGAAGACACCTTCGAAAGACGAACAATTGCCGTTAATGACCACTTTACTCACGCAATGCATTTGCGTTGAGTCACAAAATAACCATTTATTCGACGGTGAACATCGTTCACAGCCATCGACGGAATAGTCTAAAAATTTTGCGGGTTCAAAAATCATAACCCATAATTATTTTCAATGGTTTCTTTCATCAAATGCT